TGCATTCCAGTCCACTCTGCTTGGCTGCCAGTTTACACCAATGTGGTGCAAACTGTTCTTATTACATTAACAACTTTTTCTGGAAGTTGAAAAAGGCTGGACTTTTTCTGGTAAGACCTCGTTTTACATTATAAAAATAATTCAATCATACTACAAAGATCAAATAACCCCCACGAATATTCATTTAAATAGAGTAAAACTTGCCCTCTAAACCCTCTCTTTAGGTACAAGCCTCTGTTAACAGTTTAGGGTGTATCCTTCAAGATTCTTTTCTATGGATCCATAAATTATGCATTTTTCTTCATAGAAAGCTCATCCTTTATGTCCTGTTTATGGTGGGAGACAGCCACCATAGTGTGGATGTCCCCCACCTCAGAAACACCTCCCTCCACCATTCTTCTCAACAGCAGCACAGCGTCGCACTGATGGCGGTTCCCTTAGTTGCACAAGTATTTATTGAACCCTGTCGTGTACCAGGCGCTGTCCCAGATGCCAAGGATGGAGCAGGAAGTAGAACGCAGTCTTTACCCTCAAGGTCTCGCTCTTCCTGAGGTCAGACATCAGGCTGCTTCTGACATTGTCATATAATATATAATGGTGCAGGGACCATCTTGCACATGTAGTTTTTTTTACGCGTGTGTATTGCTATTAGGTAACTTACTATTAACTACTATTAACTTACTTTAAAAGGAATTGTGCACATTTAAATTTAAAAAAATTTTATTGACTTGAGAGAGAGAAACATCAATTTTTATTTTTCTACTTATTTATGCATTCATTGGTTAATTCTTGTGTGTGCCCAGACCTGGGATTGAACCAGCAATTTTGGCGTGTTGGGGTGATGCTCTAACCAACTGAGCTACCTGGCCAGGGGCTGCACATTGAATTTTGATAGTTATTGGCAATGCTGAGGAGTGTTACAGAAGGGGGTGACACAGTTATATGTACAGCCATCCACCCATCTCTACATCCACCCATCCATCCATTTACCGATCCATCCTTGCATCTATCCACCCATGTATTCATCTGACAACTATTTATGGAGTGTCAATCATGTGGCTGGCCCTGGACTCAGCATGGGGACACCATGGGCGTGGTGTCTGAGATAAGTAAACAGCCCCACAAGAGCTGGCCCAGGTCCAGGTTAGGGTAAGGACTCTCCGAGGCCGTCCGGCTTTCCCCTGCTGCACTTCCGGAGCCGCCGCCCCACTCAGTCCCTGCTCCGTCTACTCCTGCCCCACGCCTGTTGCTGCACTTACACTCATCACCTCCCGACTCCAAGAACCTGATGACATTTAGTAAAATTCAAAACCCTGGGAATATTCAGAAAGTTCTAATTGGGTAAATACTATCATCTCGTGGCATGTGCTGAGCTCTTCCTCTGAAACGTGTCCTTGCTCTCTTCCCATCGCCCTGGCTCCACTCTGGCCTGAGCCACCAGTCCCCCCCTGGGACGCCTGTAACAGCCTCCTCTCCTGGCTGCCTGTGTCTGTTCGAGCGCCTGACTATCAACCCATTCTCCAAATAGCAGCCAGAAGAAACTTCTAAAAAGGTATTTTGACTCTTGTCACTAGCTTTCTTACATCCTCCAGTGCTGTCCCTTTGGGGTTAGAATAAAATCTAAACTCCTAGGACCACGAGCCCACGTGAGCAGGCTCCTGCCAGACCCCATGCCTCTCTCTCTCCTCCCTCTACTCACCCCGCCCCCTGTCCTGTCACACTGAGTCCCCCCCAAAATGCCAGTTCCTGTCTCTTCCCCCTGAGCTTCCTGTGCTTGAGTCCCCTTTATTCTTTAGGTCTGGGTTGAGACAACACCTCACAGAGACCTTCCTAGACCACCCCATCTAAATCAGGACCCCCAATCCAATCAACATTTCCCTGGGATTCCTTCTCTAGAGCACTTGTCTGAATTATCTTGTGAAGCACTGGTTTCTTTATGTCTCTGATTTCAGGGGGGTAGGACCAGCTATCCTGGGGGATTTTGGGGGCTGAAGAAGTATGGAAGTGCTGGCCTGGAGTCCCTGCTGACCACCCTTTCAGATCCCCATATCCCTCAAGGCCTAAGCCTTTTGCAGGCACAGCCTCTTGAACATTCTGGAAAGGTTGGTATTCTCATTCTACAGGTGAAGAAACTGTGGCTCAGAGATGGAAAAGTCTAAGGTGTGTCAAGATTCCTTCCTATGCAATGCACACCACACGCAAAGTTTATGTGACACAGGTGGTCAATGTTGTACCAGCCAGATTTCGAACCCAACTCTGTTGGCTCCAGGGCAAATGGTTCTAGCCATGCCGTACCGAACTCTTTCTGGAGCCCCCCAGCTCAGTGTCCCCAACCGAGGTCCCACTGCCCATGTGCAGCAGAGCCAGGACTCTAACCCAGGGTTGTGTCCCCCCCAAACGGAGCGTCCTGTCCTGGTACCACACTCTCTCCTTTCCCCAGGCACCATCTGGTAAGTGAAGGAAGGGAAACTTCCTGGGTCCCCTGTCCTGAGGCTGCAGAGAGATGAATACCCCACTGAGCTCAGCCTGGCAGCCACCCTGGGAACCCCACCCTGATTCCTGTTGGAGTGGCCTCGGGTTATTCCTAGCCACAGCCTAGGAGCCAGCCGGGTCTTGGGACATTGCTGGCTGTCTCCTTCCTCTGAAATCCCCTCCTGGGGTCAGGTAGCCACAGACTCTCACCCTGTGGAGCAGGCGCAGTGGGATTCATGAGAAGAACACACCCCGCAGCGTGAGCAGCACAGTGACACAGGAGAGTTTGTGCTCCAGGGTCAGGACACTAGTCAAGTGATGTAAGCTCTCCAGGCTTTCAACTTCCTTGGCTATAAATGAGGGTACATAAACGGGAGCTGTTATTATCATTACTTTTCCATCTGGCTAACTGTGTTTCCAAAATTACGGGATAAAGTGGAGATAAATACAGGGTGGGGCGAAAGCAGGTTTCCAGTTGTGAATACACGCAACACAATTGATTCTTGTATTATTATTTAATTGCTTTATTTTCTATACGAACAACTGGAAACCTACTTTTACCCAACCCTGTAAAGGTCACCACCCACTTTATGGCTGGGAAGCAGGAAGAAATCAGAAATCTGAGTTCTCAAGTTACACGTCTGATCCAAATCTAGCTGATTCTTGAATGCCTCTCATACCCATCCTCTCATTTTCCCCCAGTGCTCAGGTTCCACCGTCATTGTCTCTTGCCTGGATCGCCACAAGAGGCCCTTCACCTGTTTACCATCTTCTCCCCTCCGTTCTACCTGTAGCCAGAGCAAGCTTCTTAAAACAAAAAGCAAATTTGTCTAGGTCACTCTCTCCTTCTCAAAATGTGTAAGTGGCTCCTTCCCTTGCTCTGGCCTACAAGACTCTGCGAGATTCCAGCCCCATCTCTTGCCAGAGCGTCTCCCCCGACCCCCAAATTGCCAAAATGCAACCAGATGGAGGTACTCATAGCTTTCTGTGGGCACTGCTCTCCCTGGCCAGTAGGCATCTGGAGGTTCCCTCTGCCTGGACCCTGTCTAAACCAGCACATGCATCCTGTGGGTGGCTTGGAATATTTTGTGCCAGAAGGCTTTTGAGTCCTCATTGCCACCATCCTTACTCCGCTGAGCTCCCCGAGTCCCCTGTTAAGTCCCCTATTACAATTCTCATCCACCAGATTTGTCTCTGCTTCACCTATTGTTGAGCTTGGAGAGGTGGAGAGCGCAGGCCCACCAGGCTCACTTGCTAGGTCTGAGCCTGGCTCAGAGCAGACTGCCCCTAAACATTTTGGTACTAAATGAATGAACTACAGTATGTCGAAAGTCTGACAGGTACAAGGCTCCGGAAACGGCCTCTGCACCCAGGGCAGTTAATCTAGTTAGGGAGACCAGCCATAACTAGGTAAGAAACTAACCGACAACCGAAGTCTTAGATAACAGCTTGGGATGCGAGAAGCTGCGTCTATTACAGATTGGTGATGAATTGCTCTAAATCACCCCCTCCGCGAAGCATTTGCAGACATTTCTCTCTTCAAAGCTGAGAACTATAGATTCAGAGGCTGTTAAGACCTGCTTGGTCTAGTCCCCGCCACCTCTTTGGGTGTGTTTTCCGATAAAAATGGGACTTGCTACCTCCCAGGCCTAATTAAGTGGTCAGCGCGCTCAGGTCGGGGTGGGGTGGAGACTTGGAGGGCCATTCTAGCCATAGTTTTCACGTTGTTTCGTCTCTTCATTGTTTCTTCTTTTCTTCTGCTCGCGCCCTCCTCCCTGCTCCGCCAGTCCCGGCTTCCCGCCCCGCGACCTCCCACTGCCTCCGCGGGGCCCCTCTCTCTTTCCCTCCGCTCCACACCGACCGAGGAGGCGAGCCCAGCCACGCGGCACACCAATGCAAGCGTCCCTAGCCGTCTCTGCCTCTCCAAGTCCCGCCTCACGCCGCCATCCACCAATCACGTTCCGCGCCCGCTCCACCGGTCCGCCCAATCGCTGGAGGGCTGGGCCGCCGGCGCTCCGCCCCTCCCGCTCTCGGCGGCTGCTCCACCGGCGGCGGTGCTGGGCCTCAGCATTCTCGCAGCGGCGCCGCGCAGCATTAGACTTCGGTCGCGGCATCGGGAGCGCAGCGGCGGTGCTGCTGCTCGCGGGGTGCTGGGCAGAGGCGGCGGGCGAGGCGGGCGCCACCGGCCGGCCGGAAGGGCGCTTCAGCTCCGCCGGAGCCCGCGGTGCGGGACTCAGGACCGAGAAGGAGGCAGAGCCCTCGCTGTCCGGGGCCGGGCCCAGTGCCGGCCCGGAGGGGTCGAGGCCGGACGTTCCCGGCCCCGACGCGCCTCCCGGAGAGGACCCCAGAGTTCCTGGCCGCCCCGTGGGGTGCCTTCAGCCTCCCCGGATTCACCTGCGCAGGCCGCCTGGCACCCAGGTGCGGGGGCGTGTGCGTGGCTAGGGCACCTCCCCTGGCCGCCAGCGGGGCGGGGACGGGGCCGCCCGCCGCCTTCGGCCTCACCGGTCCGCCCGCCTCGCTCAGTTTCACCGGTCGGTCAGCCACGCTCGGCCACGGGCCGTGAGCTACCCGGGGACCGCGGGTCGGGATGCTGCCTGCCAGCGCGGCCGCTCGCGCGCCCCCCGCCACTCCTGTCCTTGCTTCTTGGGCCATGTCCCGCTGTTTACATGCCGGTGAAGTCCCTGGCCACTCCGAGCCCCTCCGAGCCCCAGCTCCCCGAGGGTGAAGCCAGCCGACCCGCGAACTGGACTGGTCGCTCAGACCTGGGCCCTCCGAACTCAGATCCCCGCCAGTTCTGCCGCCTCCGCCACCATCTGGGCGGGATCGGGCTCTGGTGTTTTGAGGAGGGGGTGTGGTGTAGGGAAAGGAATCCTGGGGATTTCTGGCTCTCCCCCTTTTTTGGCCTTCGAGGCTTTAGACTCAGGGAATTCGCTCATGGCTTTCTTGATGAAGAAGAAGAAATTCAAATTCCAAACCACTTTCACCCTGGAGGAGTTGACGGCTGTCCCCTTTGTCAACGGGGTCCTCTTCTGCAAAGTCCGACTGCTGGATGGAGGGGATTTTGTCAGCTTATCGTCAAGGTAGGAGCTGGGACAGTCCCGCCTGCAGGGGAGGAGGGGTGATGAACGAGATCTAGCCAATTGGCGAATGTGGAAGCCCCCCTTGGGGCCGAGAGTCCTGAGGGTTCTGTGTGTCTGGGTCAGGTTTCCACAAGGCAGGGCTGAGCGATCTGGGAGGTCTGGGCCTGAGGAATCTTACAAGAGTGTCCGCACCCGTCTGCAGGTGACCTGCCAGATACCTGGGGGTCTCCTTTCAGCCCCTTCTTGGGGTCTTACATGCAGCCTGCCTCAGGTCCGTTCTGCAGACTTGCACAAAGAGCCCAGCGGGTTGGTGCCTTGAGGGGGCTGAAATGGGGAGGAGTGTTCAAGGCTACCTTGCACCCAGCTGGCCATTTCGGCTGTCATATGATTTAGAGCCCGGGCCAGCCACAGGTTCCCAGGTACTCCCAGCTCTGTGAAGGCTCAGCCGCAGGCACTCCTGGTCTGCCTGGAAGGAGGTGGCCGGATTTTGGCTTGCCCAGCCCCCTCTGAGTGACTGTCCTCGCTGGAGCTGGGCTGCTTTGCATTGCAAATGCCCTTGTCAAGGAGGCTGCAGCCCTCCCTGGAAGACGCTTGGTCGACTTAGGTTTTGTGTTCCCCATCCTGCAGGTCCAGCAGCCCAGCTCATCGATGAGGGCAGCTGGGTTCCCAAGCTGCACCCACTGACTGGGCCCACCAGGGGTCACCTAGTCCTGGTCTGCTTGGGAGAGTGCCTTGGAATTTGACAAATAGGGGGTTGAGTCCTCACTCTGTCACTTTCTGGGCCCAATACAGATCCCTGTCAGAAAGCTGTAGAGATGTTTCGGTAGATAGCAGGCCATGCAGGGCCTGGCCCCGTGCCTAGGACAAGCCTGTTCCCTTCCCTGGCCTGTCTCTCTACTCCGTAGGCCTTCATGTGGGGTGTCTTTAACACAGGGAGAAACTGAGGCTCAGAAAGAGGAAGTAAGTGGCTTGCCAGAGACCTCTAAGGAAGCAGTTGTCAACTGCATTTGGCTTGTTTGGAGACTTGTTGGATATATCTGGTGGTCGGATGTTCTGTCGGGAGGCGGGGAAGAGAGCCACACAGCCTAACCAGAGTTAGGAGTCTCTAGTGTGGACAAGGTGGGGTGCCTTTCTGGTTCATTTGGGCCCACTCAGGCCTGGAGGTTCCCCAATCTACTGGGAGCTGCTTTTCTGTGGGATTCAGACAAGGGCTGCCCTTTGCTAAGGGGTGGGTAGTGTGGATGGGGTGGGGTATATACGATTGCCTAGGAAGCCTGTGATTCTGCTGCCACCCCGCACAGCAGCCCAAGGCTTCAGGGAAAGGGCTGTGCTCATACCTAGGGCCTGGGGTTGATCACTCTCACTCACTAGCTGGGTGACTTTGCGCAAGTCCCCTAAACTCTGTAATGCCAGCAATCAGAGGTTACTGGCGCAGTGCTCTCCATTTTACTGGCACCTTTCACTTAGCCCTTTGACTATGCCATGGAGCAGGGTGGAGGTTGGGTTGGGAGGGCTGTAGGATTATTATCCTCATTTTCTAGAGGTGGAAACTGAGGCTCAGAGAGGGAGTGATTTGCCTGTGTTAATACAGCAGAGCCCAGGTTCAAACTCAGCGTGTGCTTCTCACCATTCTCCTTTTCTGCCTTGGGGCTTTAGTTTCCTATTCCGTGAGATGGGAGAGGTCATACATACTCATCCCTAGAGTTGTGAGGGGTAATGGATAGTGTGTGTACCATGTCTGGCTCAGCAGATTGTTGCAGCAGTTGTGGTTTCTGTGGTGGGGGCGGGGGGCCCAGCCCCTAACCCCTCCCAGGTCCTAGGGGGACCAGCTACAGTCAGTGGGGGGCCTACATATGAGCTGGGGGTGGGGCCAGGGTCTTGGATCCCACTGAGGAGTTGGTATTCAGCCCCAGGCTGAGGTATCTACTGGCCTCCCAGGCCCTGGGACACCTGCCACCCTACCTGTCAGCCTTTCCATTGCCCTAAACCAGCCCCACATCCAGGAAAGTCTGGAAAGTTCCAGGTCTCAGCCCACAGCTGCTGGATTTCACCTTTGCCTCCCCTTTTTCCCTCCTGGCAAGGGGCCATGGATTCCCTGAACTCTGCGAGCCCAAACAGCCTCGCCCAGCCCTCATCACCTATGGAACCTGAGTAGGGCTGGCGAGGGAGGAGCTGAGTGGAGCGCCCTCCGAAGCCAGTGCTTGGTGGGCTCTGGGTGCTGGTTTGCTTCTGAGCAGGTGTGGCTGGAGGGAGCAGACATCAAGGACGGGATCCGAGGCTGCTTTAGAGCTGCTTTGAATTTTGCTCAGAAGATAAGAGTTTCTGTTTTTTTGGTGGGGTTTTTTTTTTTTTTTTTTAAATCTTCTCCATTTCAATCCCACCCACCCTGCTCTGCAGCCTGGGAGCCCTACTGCACAGCCCACCCCCCCAGACAGACAGGCCCCAGTGTTTTGGAGTTGAGATAGGTAGGGTTAGACATGATGAGACTTGCTTAGATCCTGGACCCAGAGCCAGTAGCATAGTCGCCCAAGCGCCAGGGACCCCTGAGATAGCCCAGAGCCTGGGGGCGGCAGTGGCATGGGCGGTGTCTGAGGGAAGCAGGCTCGAGGCCCCACCCATGTAGCACCCTCCTTCCTCGTTGGAGTGTTTCCCTGTGTGTTGGGTGCCATGGCAACAGCGGGGTACACAGCTCCAGCCTGACCCACTTTGAGCAGGTAGAACAGGTGGTGGTTTGTCGCCCTGCTCCCAGCGTCATCTTTCCGAGGCCTCCTTACGAACCGTAATCCTCACAGCTATGTTTGGAGTGCCTGTGCTATGTGCCAGGCACCGTGCTGAGAGTTTTGCAAATTGCGTGTCCGTTAATCATCTTGGCCACCGGGAGAAGCACCAAGGCCAGAAAGGTGAAGCCACATGCCATAGGTCACCTGGCTGGTAATTTAATTGGAAAATAGCCCTTTTATCATTAGGATTTAAACTGCCTTTGATTGTACACTTACCATATGCCAAGCCCCCTTGAATGCATGATCCTCAAACCGCCCTATGAGCTGAGGAGGAAACTGAGGTCAGGAGACCTAAAGTGACACCCCGTGTCACTCCACTAGGGAGGAGCATAAATGTGATTTAAATTTGGGCTGGTCCAGCTCCAGAGTCCAGCCTTCCCTTGGTGGCAGGGGGCTGGAAGCAGCTACAGCCCCATGTGATGTCCCCAGACCTTTGAAGTAGGTTCTTTTCAGTGGGTTGGCGTCGGGGGTACAGGAAACTCTAAATAGGGATAATTTCGAGGCACTGAGCTAGGTCCTGTGAGGCCTGAGGATAAAGGATGAGGGGCCCTGGGGACATAGATGGGAGTGGGGCTGAAGTCACCGCCACGGTTTTGGGGCCAGGCAGGGACTGGCACTCTTGTACAGTGGGCATGTGCCAAGGACCCTGCCCAGAGGCCTTCTAAGCGGATACATCCAAATGGCAGCTGAGAGGCTTTGCCAGGGGTCCCAGAGGGGATGCAGAGATCGCAGCCGAGTCTGGTAAGCCTAGAAGCAGTGGACTGGGAGCAGGTTTCCAGCCCCCAGCTGGTCTGTCCTTCAGGCAGGCACAATCCCAAACATCCCAAGAGGTCTCTGCGTCCAGCTGGCGCTGGTCCTGTGGCCTGCCCCGTGCACGTGGCTGGCAGTGCCAGGAAAGGAGGGAGAGGGAGGTGTTGATTTACCTTACAAGTCCTCTCTGGAGGAGATGGGCAGAGATGAGAAAAGTGAGGCCTGGGGCAAAGAAGTCACTTGTTCAGGTCACCTCATGGGGGGAGCTAAGGGCACAGCTGGGCAGATTCTGGTCTGGCCCTGACCTCTGACCCATGTGCCTCAGTACCCCTTCCTGCATGAAGCGGGCAGGCAGGGCCAGAAGGAGAGGAGGGACCCCTTCAGGGGCTGCTCCTGCTCTCGACTTGGGTGCCAGGCTGTCCAAGAATCAGACGGTGTGACTTGGGGAGACACTCCTCTCTTCCTTTCTTCTTTGGTAGCTTTGAACCTTCTATTGTCTCTCTCTCTCTTTTTTTTTCTTAAGATTTTATTTATTTATTTTTAGAGGGACGGGAAGGGAGGAAGAAAGAGAAGGAGAGAAACATTGATGTGTGAGAGATACATTGAATCAGTTGTCTCTGCAAACCCCCAGTTGGGGACCTGGCCCATAACCCAGGCATGTGCCCTGGCAGGGAATCGAACTGGCAACCTTTCAGTTCGCAGGCTGGCACTCAATCCACTGAGCCACACCAGCCAGGGTTCTGTTGTCTCCTCGGTGGGATTCTTACTCAGGCAACCGGTTGAAAGAGGACATGCCTGCTTCCAATACAGCGCTGCCTTCCCTGCCGGGGCTGGGCCCTGCGGGAGCCGGGGCGGGAGGCCTCAGAGGGATGTCTGAGATTTCTGGGCATGGAGAAGGCCTCGGACGGGTCGGCTCTGCAGCTGGGGGCCCGGTGCCCAGGCCTGGCCACACTGGGTCTTTGCACACGCACCACGGGCTTGGCCGGGCCTCCACTTCCCCAAGGCCCTCTTCCTCCCTCCCTTCCTCCTCGACGAAGGCCGCCGGTGCCGCTGCCCTGGAGCCCTGTTCTCACACACGCCTTGGTGTGGAGGGACGGTGCTGTGGGGATGGCACATGGTTTGTCCTTCGGGCCTGAGGAGGTGGGGAACCCCGGAGGGGCAGAGCGCCCGCCTTTTGTCACAGAGCAGGAGCTCTGGAGGAGTGTGTGGGGAGGGAGGAGGAGGCCACATTTATTGAGCACCCCCTGGGTCCTGAGCTTTCAGAGGTGAACCAGACAGCCCTGCTCCCGTGGAACTCCTCATGGGAGGGGGCATTGCACCTGGTGGGCATCACGGAGCGAGACATCTGAGCCGGGCAGACCTGGGGCAGGCCTCCCTAGGATTCCGTTAGGTCCCCGAGGACTAACTAGAGGAGGCATTTCTGGTCAGTCGTCTGTCCATTTGTGTGACAGGTGTTGATTGGGCACCCCC